TATGAACAAATTGCTATTAACGGCATATTTTAAAATCGGGGATTCTAAATTTAACTCAACTTATTGTTATAAAAGAATATGCAGATAAAAAAGTGTCGATATATGCTTTCATTTTTCTTAATATTTAAAGTTAAAACTGAACTTTTTAAAATAAAGTATTTATATTGTCATTTTCGCCAACTAGTAAATTATTTTTATAAGTTTAAAATGGTATTTTTTTAATATTATGGCCAAGAAAGTTTTTTTAAACTATGTTTGTGAATGGAAATATTGCGTTAATTACGTAAAGTTTGAAAGCTAATAACCAGAAAAAGTCTAGCTTATTTTTACAAAGAGAAAGAGGCAAAGTTATCATAATATCTTTGCGTGCGATCTTCCGATATCTGTGGACACAGTGACGTCATGAGGAGGGAAATCGTAGCTTCAGCTCTAAGAGCGGAGTGAACAAGCCCTTCGATTCTCTTTAGCCCTGATAGCGTTCAGTGATTGAATTCCTGCAAAGTGCGGAGCAGCAGAGAAGGTGCGCGGAGTCCATGTCCTAACCAGAACTGCAAAGAGTGCATACCGGGGAAGGAACGATACAAATCTAGACAGATGTTTCCGCAGACAGTCATGACCGGTGGCCAAGCGGAATTCAGCCACCGCTCTTCGTCTTGGGCCATTTCGGGTTGATCTTGCCCTTAGGAAATTGTTTGAATGCTTGCTACATTATCGACAGACATAGTAGGGTATAATAGATAAAAATGACACTTCCTCGGGAGAAAAAAAGGCGTTTTATTGAGCATTTGGGTACAAAAAGAAAAACAAAAACACAATTTGTGAATACATGAAAAACAAAAAAGGTCTTTCCTTACAAGAAAATCGTTTTTAGCAGAGGGTATGGTTTCCTCGGACGGCCAGCAACGTTGACCACCTCCTTTGCATCGAGTCAATTGGGTTATTAATGAGGAGCTGGTGTATTTTGCCCCACTCCTCCAGAAGAGCTCTTTCCAGTTCTTGCAGAGTTTGTAGAGGTGGTAAGAGTGCAGAAATTCTGTACAAAACATGCTCGGTTGTGTTCATGAGCGGAGAACACGCTGGCCAATTCATTCGTATGATTCCTTCCTTCAAAACGAAATCATACACCAAGTTAGCACGATGTGGCCTTCAATTGTCGACCATTAACCTGAAGTCATCTCAAATTGCTATAGTGTAAGGGACTACAATAGGTCATAGGTTCATTCCTATATCGGTAACCGGTCAGAGCTCCATTTCAAATGATATGGAGATCGGTGCGTCCAAGAATGGGGATTCCAGTATAGACCATCACTACCCCACCGCCAAAATTTACACTTTTGTGCACAAACGCAGGATTGTTTCTAGAGCCCCGTTCCCTCCAAATGAAAATATGCCTATTACTCCAGCTTGTGCTTGGTCTGTCTCTAAACGTTGAGACATCGCGCTCATCGAAACAACGCGCTTACTGAATGTCGGTTATTTTTTCCACTTTGTCTTGCATTAAGTTGAAAGCCAAATCAAATACGCTGCCGCTAAAGCGTCGTCTTCAACGTCAAACTCAAAATCTGCATTCTGCGGAGTTTAAAAAAAGAAAAATTTGCATTTGTGATACTCTTCTTTCATTTTATTCAAAAAATTTTAGTTTGCTTATACCGTAACTTTATGCAAGACTTATAATATTCTTTAATTTTTTTGAGCAGTTTTTGTGAGCACCTTTCTAAACTTGAATACTTCTCCAAAAATGTCCTTCTAAAAGTAAAGATATATTGCTTTTGGAGCGAAACTAACTTCTGATTTCAAATCTCTACATCTGAATTAGGCAAGATCAAGTATTTGTATAAATGCAACAAAAGTTTTGTTCCTCAGTGTTAAGCATGAAAATATTAATTCATATGTTTAATTCATGCTATTCACTACTGATTTTTATAAATATTGTAACTTCTAAAGCAAAATATAACTCTCGCACTTGGAATATCGGAAATTCAGTTTGTGTCTTTTTAACACTAAGCCCCTTAGTGTTTCTAACTGTTTTATGTAATGAAGAAGCAAAATGTATGCTGTGTTTTATTATTATAAGCAAAGTGACTTCCGAGGGTGACTACCTTTTACTTTAGCGACTCCTTTATACTTTATAAATAAAATTATAATTTTCTTTCTTTTTTTAAAAAAAATATCAACCTTTAAGGAAAAAAAAAGTTAAGAGGTATGAGAGGCTACGGGAAGAGTATGTGTTTATTTGCTTGCTTGGAGTTTTAAGTGCAAGAGAACGTTGTGGTTATACCGCGCCAACAACACAGTGAATATCGCACATTTAGGTTATAGGTTATAAGCTTGATTAATGCATAGATACTAAAAGTTTGCGAGTGGTCATTTAATTTTGAGAGCTTAGAAAAGTTTTAAAAGTTGTCTTTTCCTAAAATTTTTAATCGGTGTTTGGAATAAAGTTCTCTTTTTATTTATTTTTAAATAAATAATTCGGTTGTAGAATAAGACTGCAAAGCAACTATTATAAAGTATTTAAGAAACTGTAATTTATTTCAGAGTATATCTGTAGCTGTATTCCTATCATACATGATAGTTGCATGGTTATCCATCGGATCTTTATCAAGCAAGTACAGCCAAACTCCTTTACCATTAAGTGTCAGCTCTTACCCATATTTTCGCACTAATTCTAGTGTAGTCACACATACATGTCTAAACGATGCCAATTGTACTGTCTCAATGATATCAACAAAACCTCCCCCTAAGTAAGTAGTACTGTTCATTGTTGAATATTTTATGTACTTTATTTTATGTGCTTCATTTTATTAGCTTATGTACAGAAAATGTATAGGGAAAACAGTTTCTAAATGCTTTGCTCAAGGTAATTTCAAAATAATATTATAATTGTAATAAATTATATTGTTCTACGCATCGCAAAAGATACTTTCTTTATGTATGTGTTGTGATTTTTTAAAATTATTATTTATGTTTAATCTATAAGGTAAAATAAAATGATTCGTGCTTGTCATTTAGATGCTGGCGGGTCGAGGGTCAATGGTTTATTTTATCGATGTCGCAGTCTGACTGATCTGCAAAGAATAGCTAGCTTAAAATCAGAATATATAAGTGATTTTAAAATTATGAATTATAACAAATGTTTATTATTTTTATTCAATCCTCCCATCATGCAACGCTCTTAATATAAAAATTAAATTTCTTTCATTAGGGTTTAAATATAGTAATAAATACGATTCCATGTCAGAGAGGCATTCATATACAGGAATAAAATTAGCTTTAAGTATTCAGATATTTCAGATACAGACATATTATGTTTATAAAATACTTTTTGTTGTCCAACTTATTAATTACTTAAGCTCTTTACCTTCTTAAAACCGTAGAATTACTAAATAGCAATTAAGTTAGTTTAATTTCTAGAAAAATCCTAGAATAGCCCACTTCTTGGCGACTTTCTGAAATCTCGTTAAGTTGGCAATTATTACTGAGATTAACTTTGCTTTCTGACTATTAAATTATTAACAGTTTAAGTTATAAAATTTTTTAATTATTACAAGTTATTGAAAATTCACTCGTCCATTCGTTAGCCGTTTTCAACTGGTATCACACAAAAAAAAATTAAAACATGAAATAATAACAGCTATAAATGAAATAATGGTTAAATAATGAAATAATAACGATGATTCTATCAGTAAGAGATAAGAAGCGAAAAATGGCAAAAAAATAAACCTTTTTACCTCTTTTTTAAACGAAATCCAACTTTCGTGTAAGTATACATATTAAATAACCAATCAGGTTTAAGAATTTTGGTGGTGTGATCAGACGTTCAAAATAATTCCTACGAAATATCTTAGCAAATATCAAATAGTCACCCAGAGGTGAGCTATTCTAGGATCCACTCTTGATTTCTTTATTTTACAGTAATAATGCGATAGAAACTAGTTTATTTGAACCTCTATCTTTCGAATAATTCGGCTAATTAAAACGTCAAGTGTATTTTCCATTGCTCAATTTCAATAATATGATGTCATAACTCTTTTACATCCGGGGTTTTTGAAATGAGAAAAAAAAACTGTACATGGCTACATTGTTCATGGGAGTAACGAATGAAAGTTTCGTTTTTTGATGAAGCTGGTTGCTTTGGTATTGCTTCAGAAATCTGAAAGTTGCTTTCTTTGTTTCACTATTTTTTAGAATGAAACCTGAGTGACTACTTACGGTGAGTTGCTTTAGTGGTCAATGGTCAGCTTAGAAAGATTATCAACCTATAAAAGAGAATTATTCAGTATTTTCGTTGTACTTTTGGAATTTAAATTCGGGTTTTTGTAATAGAGATCAACTTAGACAAGTGCTCAACTTGGCAAATATAATTTTATTCCTAGTGTTGCTTAATCTGGTTCTGTACGCTTCCTTCCTCAAAAAAGCATTCACTTCTGGTGCTGCTAAAAAGAAGCATATTCTGCAATAAGGCCAAGAAAAATATATCCCAAAGCATAGATGCCAACTGCTCCGAATCCAACAAAATATTTTGAAAAAGGGTAGAGAACTGCAAACTGAAATTTGCAGATTTTCGGTTAATTTTGCCAACTGTTCAAAAGATACAATGCGGCACAACTGAAACTAAGTGACGTTTCACACAAACCTTTGAATTATTCAGCAGTAGAGGACGATAAAAACCCGATAAATCGAATTTTTAAACCATAAATCATACACCAAAGATTACCACTCGAAAATACTCATCCGTTGCCCGGGGCAAGTTGTCATCTCTCAAAGGCTACCACTAGAAATTATTTGTGCGCTATGAGGAGCAAGCTGACCTTTCTGATATGGTAAACGAAATCGAAAGTAAAATCTTATTAATCTTGCAGAGTCATCAATAGAATCAACTTCATTCAATGAAATAAGCTTCGAAAATTAATGAAATCAGCTAAAGATTCTGCTTTGTACAAATGGTTAATTAAAAATAAAGGAAAGAAGTACTACTATCTAAGGCAATAATGCAAGTTAATTTTTAAATAAATATTTTTGTTTGTGCTCAATAGAACTAAAATATTTGTTACGAGAGCAAAACGAAATTTTAAATACTAAATAGCATTATTTTTTGAAAAAAATCTTCCCTTTTCACAGTTTAATGACAAAAAATGGCAATAATTGGAATGGCAATAATTTTTTATTTTTATTAACCATTCCCAATAACTTTAGAAAATCAAGGTCATTCTGCATTACATGCATAAATTTTTTTATTTAGAATTAGGAGCGTGTTTGAACGATAGATAATTTTTTGTAACATCTGAACAGTTCGATTTAAAATATCTCAATTCATTTCATCGATTTAAGATACATCTTTAATGAAATAGAATTCTGAATAAGTATTTTAAAAATTAATTTTATTAAAGAATTTTCATTAAAAGTGTTTCATTAAGTGGAATAAATTGCAAAAATTAAGACGCATTAAAAATAACATTTGAAATGTAATTATAGCACACATATGAATTATTAAAAATAAAAAGATTATTTGCTTAAAACAATGTTTTTACATTCGTTCACAAACAAATTTCTCTTATATTTTGTCTCACAGTGTAAAAAATTCTGCATCAAATTACGATATAAAATACCGTAAAATTTTATTGGGGGCGTCGTCACTAATATCCATTAACCGTAAAGAACATTGTTACTGTAAAATATTATGCCGTAATTTTTAGATTAATATTTATTTTATTCGAGTGATTAAGTAAATTTTACGGTAATTATTGCTGTTAAAAATTACGGAATATCATAATTTTTATTCTGTAACATATTCAGAAAAAATTGAAGGGCCGCAAAAAGAAGTAGACCCCTCAGAGGGCCGCCACTTCTTACTGCAACTACTTCCATAATTTTAGGCAGATTAATATTTATTTAATTCGAGTGATTAAGTAAATTTTACGATAATTATTGTCGTTAAATATTACGGAATATCATAATTTTTGTTCTGTAACATGTTCTGGTAAAATCGAAGGGCCGCAAAAAGAAGTAGTGCCCTCAGAATGCCGCCACTTCTTACTGCAACTACTTCCATAATTTAGGCAGTGTATTAATATCCATTTAACATGTTGTTTTTGAAAAATAAATATGGTTTTTGTGTTGGCATAGATATTTTTATTATTTTTATTTGCAACAAATATATTTTTTCCCTTTTTCTTCCATTTTGTTTAGAGACATATTTTTCCTTTATAAAATCTTTTTCATGTGGCATAACGTTCTTGGGCTCTTCTTAACTTTATTTTATTCGGCAATTGCTGTCTTAATAACAGGTAAGACTGCTTTACGTATTGGTAGTCAAAGAAAAAGTATCACCCTAATTAAATTTTGGTCTAATGATCGCATTTTTACGAATTAAGTGCTAGCCTTAATCACATAAAAACATGACCTTGAATGCAGGTAATTAGTGTTTAATATTAAGTAGATCGGCAAAACAATCCCAAAATAATATATTTCCGTAAATTAAATATCACTTTTTCCTTGCAGATTTAGATTCTTGGGATAAAAAACACGATGGTAAGCAGCAAGCCAGAATATCTGGTATCTATTATTTAATTGGGAGTTCGGTCTAAATTTTGATCCTTTTAATGTCAATTTCTCTTTGTCAGAAATAAATTTAAATGAGGAAATACACAATTTGAGTCACTTTGTTCCTGAGCTACAAAATTTTAAAAAAAATGTATTTTTAAATTTATATTTCTCTGGAACTACACGACTAGTTTTGAACTTTTCAATTTGAAATAACGTATCTTAAAATCTTATAGCATTTTGTATATTCTACCATTAAAAGCTTTCTGCCATCATAAAAAGCAAATAAAAGTAACAAGCAAGCATTATTTTTTACTGGAATTACCTTATATATGAGATATCTGGAATATATGAGATTTACTTTTAAGCAAAAAGTTTTCATTTCACTTTAAAAGTAATCGAGATGTGGCAAAATACAAAGAACATTAACCCTTTGAAGCAGAATTTTCACTAAACTTATTTTTAATACATTGTATTTATTATTTTGAACTAATTTAGGTCAAAACAAGTGAAAAATACTATATTTAGAATTTTAATTTATTATCGTAATGAAATACAGCATGAAACATCGGTGCTTTTTACGCGTTGAAAGTTAAATCTTCCTAACGCTACTCACTTCCAAACAATAAATTTTCAAACTTCGCAGTTATTTAGATCTAAGAGAAACAGTTATTTATCACTGAAATTTCCTTTATTTATAAAATCAACTATTGGTAAATTTTTGAATAAGAATGGAAAAAAAAATCAAATTACTTTTTTTGGATTTTATATTTTAAAACAAATATAATTCCGAGAATCCAACTGATTTATTTTAGTATTATTTAGACCGTTTTTAATAATTAAATACTAACATGTATTTTTACTTGTACATGAAAGCGTCAGAAAAAAATAAGTGAAAGGGCACCGGTGTCCGATCTGCGCCAAGGGATTAAGGGGGTTGAAACTTTTAACCACACTCTCGCACTTAACTTAGTCTTCCAGGTTGCTGCTTCCTCCCAATTTGGAAGATTAAAATTTAAATCTTTTTGTAAAAAAGAATTTTTTTCAAAGATTTTAGATTTTAGTTCTTCTTTGTGTATGTCTCCCTAACTCAATTGATATCACTAATAAATGATGACGTCACTGTTTTTGAACTGTTAAGTTTGGCACTTAATTGAGAAGCCAGCTATTAGGACAAAAGTCAATTAAGGTGACTTCTTTCTTGACATTGCATGCAATAAACCATATTTATAGGTAACGCATTTAATTGATAACTGTGATATAAAAATGTATTTGGATTAAGAAACTATATTTCAATTTATATGGTGTCTTTACTAATACGTGAACCAAATATTCCGATAGGGTAACTAATTGAAAAATTAAAAAAAAATTAGGACTTTGAATTACCTATAGTCCTTATAATATTCAAAACTATTATCGAAAGAGTAAAATTGTACTTTGCATTGCATGAATTAATAACTTGAACTAGTTTATCTTGATAATTATCTGAACTAATTAACAGTCGAATTGAAAAAAAAATCTAATTAGAATATTCTAATCTAATAAGCTTTTATTTTGAACTTAACGGAGAAAATTTCCAATTGCTTATAATTAAGTTTAAAAGGTCTTCATAAAAAAGAAAATAATCTTTGAAAATTTTATATTATGAACTACTTTAAGCAATTTTATATTTAGAAAAAAAATTATTTCTTAAAATCCAAAATTTTCTAACTTTAATTAATTTAGAATTAGCCTTAAAAATTTCAAGAAAATAAATGAAACAACCTATTCATATTGAAGCGAATTTGGTATCTAGTACATTCCGTTCTTTGTTGAGTTTTTTTGCAGGCAATTTATCGTAATAAATCTAGTCAAGTCATATTATATTTTCCAGGTTGGCGAAAAAATGTAGTGCCAATTGACTCAAAATGCCTAAGTCCAGTGACTAAGCTTTCGATGAAGGAAACAACACAGAATAAGGAAAACAACATACTTTCTGGCTATGAAACGTCTGAACAAGCACATCAATTGTAGATTTTTATATAAAATATTTTTTATATAAATTTTTTAATAAATAAATAATTACATTGAAGCTTAAGTATGTAAGAAGATTTAGTGATGACGTAATACCCTAATCATAATCAATGAAAAATTATGCATTAAATAGAACACGCAAGAGTAATAATAAGAGAAAGATCTTCTAGTTTTTTGCTATTGTTGTCATAGGTCATTAAGGCATGGGGAGTGTGATTTTTATTGTTCTTCCAGCAGGCATAAAGCTATCATACTCTGATTTTAATTGATTTTTCTACGATGATGATATGAAATATGAAGTTCATTGCTTCCGCATGGACATCTGGTATGAATGGCAGAAAAAAATTGTAACAGGTTTTATGAAAATATGTATGGACTCAATGGTTTGAAATGTGACTAAGCACCAAGGAGATCTCTTTTTTGAAATTAGCTTCGTATATTTTCGCTTGAATCGTACAATATGATAATCTTAGTACTTTATTTCATTCTGTCTGATGGATTAACTAAATTTTACTGATTCGGAAACTAATAGAGCAGCATTTTATTCAGAGTAAAATTTGTTCCTGCAGTTAATTCAATGTTGCACGGTAAGATGGTACACGATTATGTAGACCAACAATTATTTAAATATTAGTTAATCTTTTTGGAGATTTTTTCTCTTTCTCTTTCATAAATAGGTTTGAAAATTATGAACGCAAAACCTTAATGTGATTAGAGCTATCTATTCCTTTGATGCAGAATTTTGATTAAACAAATTTTTATACTTTTTTCCTTATTTTGTAATAATGACGTCAAGATGAGTGAAAAATATTATTTTTATCATTTTAATAATTTATAGCTACGAACTATGCATGAAACACCGGTGTATTTTTCTATATAAAAAGTAAAATCTTCAAATTTCAAAAACATTTCAAATTTTCGCTTTTTTGAAGTTATTTAGATTTAAGAAAAACAGTTACTCATCATTAAAATTTCTTTAATTTACAAAATCAATCTTTGATAAATATTTTTACATGAATTTTTCATAATATTCTCTTTTGATTTTATATTTTAGAACAATTCCGATTTTTTAGTAACTATTAGATTAATTTTTCAAAAATTTAAAAATATCAAAATATATTTTTACGTGTAATTATAAAAGGATAATTTTTTTTTATGAGGGACACCTGTGTCCTGTTGGGCTTAAAAGCTTAGCAACTTTAAAGAGTAAGCTATTGTCATGACAATAGTGGTTTTCATCAATACAACAATGAAAACTTTTAATTTATTTGGGATTTAGAGCATTTTAGAGTACACAGTTGTGTGTATACAACTTTTCACGAAGAAAATTCTACTTGTGTCTCTGTACTCTGTATCGAATATTTCTATTTCATTTGTTGGACAAATACTTGATTTCTCTTCATCCAAAAATGAGTAACAGGACTCAAACACTTAGAATCTGCAGGTATTGCATTCTTTTTCCATCCTGCAAAAAGTAAAAAAGCAAAAATGAAATAAATAAATTTTTAATTCACATAAAATATATTTATTGATGAAGAGCATTTATTGGATATCCTTTCATCTCTATGTAAAAAATGATAGCTATGTGTTGATGGGATGATACCCAAAAATGGCCAACTATTTAAAAATAAAGTGGAAAGAAGGTCGTGTTCGCTTTGCTCAGGAAACTAGAGAGCTTATTCATACTAAGTTTCGAAGTTCGTTGATAGATGGCGCTCTAAAATTTGGAAGAATTTATAAAAAAAAAATTATTTCAATATAATCGTTACCAACAATAATGTGGTAGCATTAAAAGAATACAATAAACAGTCTCCGCGTTACCATTTTAGTTAGAATCGTCCGTTGAAAGTTAAAATGGAAAGAGTTATTTCATAGAAACATTATTTCATTAAGAGTTATTTCATTTTACAGAAAGAGATATTTCGTAGTTTTTCTAATCAAGCACGCCGGCTGTTGATGACCTTTATAACTAGTTCTGAAACCTTATAATAAAACAACTTGTTTCCTATGTTGAATGTAGCAAACTAGGATTTTTTTGTCGATTTCACAAAACGTTGGTCATTATCGGTAGCATATAATGAAATAGAGGAAGTATAATTAAAGATTGTCACATAGATCGATAAAGTTTTTAAAGAGGTATTCTAAAACTTTAAATAGGATTTAATGTATGAAAAAAATACTGCTGCAAAAAATTTAAAGATAGCTTATAATAATAAAAAAAAAACAATAAACACATTGTAATTTTTGATAATAATAACAAATAAAATTTTATTATTTTCTGAATAATTCGATAGTATGCACATCAGTGAATATTTTAAATTATAATACGGAAGGAGATACAGCTTATATTGCAATGACATGCATAGTGATATAAATCATTTATATTTTTTTTTATTTTAGCATACTTGTTGAATTCTTAATATTATAAAAAAAATGTTGTTACTTATGCCACTTACCAGTGCCAGCAAGGTTGCTTAAATGCTTGAAATCAAGCGAATTTTTAATGCAGAGGATGCGTTACCAGTTTTTTCAGTTGCGCCATCTTTGGCCAAGAATACGAATTCAGTCTCACACACGTCACAGTCCGTTTTACAGGACCCAATCATACTCCATTATTCATCTATTCACAAATCGTAATTTTGACCTGAACCAGAGAATGATCAATCTCCAATTTAGTACCCCCAGAGGTATTAATTTGTAATGGGAACTTGGAAGACTTTGTGAACGACAGATTATACGTTCCCAGTCATCTTTTAATATATGGGAATTCTTCAACTGGTGGGATTCGATCTCACGTTCTTTCGAACATGAACACAACGTCCTTACGATCATTCCGTCAATCTACTAAATATTTAGACGTTGAACAATCCGCATCGAACACGTTGAACCAACCGCATAGAAACACCAACTAATCAGTAACTTCATTTGACCATGGGCACGAGCAAATACAATTGCCCCTTTTTGCCACTCTGCCACATCTTTGTACTTACTCATATTTACACAAAATTTTCGCTTAAAATGAAAATATCTGCTGGCTTCTTGCCTTTGATCATGTTGAGGCGATGCCCAAGCAGCTGAGCACGTCCTTTAACCACTGCGTCATCTAACAAAACCAAATCATTCATCGGTGCATGTGCACTAGGTTGACTAATTTTTTGTCCTCTGAGGTTATTTATGCTTTTAATATATGCTTTAAAATGCTTTAACTTTTAATATATTTATGTTAAAAATTGTTTTAACTGATATATTGCTTATGAAAGAATATTAACATACTTACCCGTTATTAAAGCAGCAAAAGCTGTGAGTAAAAATGTCAGAAGGAATCCAATGAAAGAATACCACATAAATGTCATTTTGTACAGTACAAAGTAATACCTGAAAAAAAATCATTTATTTATTATTGATTTTATTATGTTTATATTCAAACCAACTCACTAAATATTTCACCACTATAAAACTTAAATGAGATGAGAGACAATATTTTAAGAGTGCAAAATGATATTAAAAAGTCATATTCTCTTCCNATATACTTACGGAGCACCAACTAAAAGCTTGCTGATTTTCAATACAAATCTCTCAAAAGACGTTTGAACAGGTCGGTTAAAAAGACACATAATAAATAAAAACGGATCAAACTACTACAGCGCCATCTTCCTTAGAGTCTGAACGAAGTCCTCCGTCGGTAAAATTTTTTTTATTTGCAAATTAAAATAGTGAAAATTAAATAAAACTAAAATGGGTAGACTCGCCCCGGTTTACGGTATTTTAAATGTTGAGCTGTTAAAACAATTTAAAACTTCATAAAGCAGTTCTTTTAATACTTACTTTTCCGTAATTGGTGATGGTAATGTTGTTGAGGATATATTAAAACTTCTGTCAGACATTGTTTGATTTTGCGATGAAAGACACATACTATTGCTCAGAGGTAATACAGGTTGAACATATCTTGCATAAAGAGAGCTTAGCGCAATCCAGGCCATTATTACATAAGTCACTACTACAGCAAAAGATATACACTGAAATTAAATAAATTCGTATAATTTAAATACCAAACTTTTCTGCTGTTATTTCTTGAGTAATATTTTAATGCTCATCTGAGCAAAATCAGTCGAATAATTCCTGAGAAATAGAGTTCAAACAAGTCTTATACGTAAATTATATTTTTATATAAAAATCTATATTTGTACGTGAAAAATTACATTTAGTGTTTGATTTTGCAAATTAAAATATAGTCTGCAGTAGTTAATTAGCATATTTGAGGTCACCCCAGTGTGCCATTAAGATTGAGTTGTAGTACGTGAAAAAACAATCTTTAAATCAAAAGTTATTCTGAGTGTTTCTTTTGTGTGTGTGCACTGTACTTCCTATTTTTACGCATTTTACTGTTTTCTTCACCCTAAAGAATATTTTTACTACGTTCATAGCATTTGATTTTTTAAATGATAAATTTAGATCTAAAAGACGGTGTAGTGTATCTACCACTACAAAAATATAATTCCACTTCACTAGTATATAAAACATGTTAACTCGATTCTATGGTGGGGTACCTTTTCCTAAATGACGGTTGACATGGTCGATAACAACTCTGCCCACATTGGTGACCTTCGGACTTGATGTGAACACGCCTACCTGGGTAGAAACGCCCACTACGATTTGAACACGCCTACTTCGATGAATGATCCACGCATTGAATAGTTGACTTGCTACTTGTGACGGCGGCATTGATCTCCTCACGCTGTTGTTTCTCCGTCTCGATCACTCACAACGTATACACTCGACTGCTAATGGCAACACAGGAGCGATCGTGAACTTAATACAGTTCTCACGATCAGCACTCAAAAGTACGGTGATTTTAATACAGCTCTCCCGGCTCCTCACAAAAAACAGCAATAAATCAACTAGTGGTATCATCGAATTCTATCACAGATAAATTCTGATGGGGGAGAACTGTAGTGTATCTACCACTACAAAAATATAATTGCAATTCACTAGTATATAAGACATGTTAACTCGATACCACGGTGGGGGTCCCGTTTCATCGATAAAGGTTGACATGGTCTGTAACTTTCCTCCCCACAACGGACTTAAATTCATTTGCTCTGATATACGTACCAGTTTAAACCAATATATTTAGTTTTTACTACAATGTTCCTAAATGCGATTGATTGTTACTCTTAAAATGTATTTACATTTAAATGCGTTTGACGTTATTGAATTTATTTTACGCTATTAAATGTATTTTGCATTAATAACTATACTTTGCCATATTAAATGTATCCAACATTGTTTAATGTGATTTCGTTATTTTTCTGCTCAAAAATTAAGATGCGTTGATTGCTGATGCTGAAAATAGCAAGTTTATTCAGAACACAAAACTGAAAATGCTTTAATGATAAATTGAACTAAATGTTTCAAGTAAAATGAAAAAAGTAAAGCAATCATGAATGATAACGAATTATACCAGACAACATGAAACGTTGACATTATAACAGTTAGAAACAATACAGCTGTATTTAAAATTTTTGTTATGTACATTGTTATAATTTGAATTATAGACAAATTAATAATTTTTACAGTTTAGTTCCACTTGCACTTATTCACCTAATATTTTACTAGCAAATAAAATATAATTTAATGACGCTTTTTACGAAATCTAAATTTTATCCGAAAGAACAAGCCTAACTTTTCTGGTGATCAGCAGCAAAAATACACAACAAAAAGTATTACATTGTTAGAAAAATTTCTCAGAAAAAATGGTTAAATAACAATTTATTTAATTGTTATTTTATGATGTTCAAACAAAACAGTCAAAAAACCATAAATGAGCATAAATAAGGTACTACAAGGAATGTTAAATGAGAAAAAAAAACTGTTTAATAACTGATTTCACCTAATATAATTAAAGAACCAGAATTTTATCGCACCAACTACGCTCGCCTGATGAAGCCTTTTAGTTCCTTGCAGATGGGTACATATTATAGTCCATGAGGCTATTCTGTTAATTCTATGATCAACAAAACGGTAGTCGGAGTCTGACCAATTTATGTTAACAATATTTTATCTATTTCCTTCAACACAAGAAGATTTTCCAGAGTTTTGCACTTCCCAATTTGTGGCCCTGGACTAATAACATACGATACACTCATTCACGCATAGATGGCAGCACAATAAAGCTGCTAAACTATCCCCAATGTCTAGTTTCATTCCTTTTTATGGTTTTGAAACCATGATAGATATGAATTGTTAAAAAAAAACGTATAGATTTGTATTCATGGTTTTTTAACCATACTAGAAATAAATGTTCGTTACCGTTAAATTTGCGCTCAATTGCATGGACAGACTGCTTCCGATTATTTTACCATATCACAGATTGAAAATTCTGACAGTGCAACTAATATATTTTACAAACGTTTTATAAGTAATATAAATGGTTTTAATATAGCAAAACATATTTTTGTAAAATATTTTAATATAGTGAAATGTTTACGAAACATAGTTCCATCTGCAGTAACGAAAAAAAATTAAATAAAGTAAAAATAATAAAAAAGTAAGGAAATAAAGAAAATAAAAAAAATAAGGTAAAAGGAATTATATTACTTGGAAGAAAAATAAACTATTTTAATGAAACTCTTTAGCAATTTATCCTACACAACTGAAATTCTTTCTTCATAATTGCCTCACATAAAATTTTTGAAAGTATATATATATATNAAGCACTTAGCTGCTTCATTGATAGCATGTTAAAAAAATTATATTAATCAATTAATTATCTTAAAATGTGAAAAAGGCGCTTTTCCATTCAAAATGCATGTTGGATATGGTTCTAATTTATCAAATACAGAATGTGCAGTAAATAGGGAATTTTCAATCAAATGGATTATTTAATTTTATGTCTTTCAAATAAATGAACTCTGCAAAAAAATAATAAACAACAACTTTATTAGTTTAAAAAACTATTTATTTTTATTGCATTTTTTAAAAAAAAAGATATAAAAACAAGTTGCAGAGGAAAAAATTGTTTCATTTTATTTTATTTATTTAAGTTATTTATATTCTGCAAAAACAAATTTAGTTTTAAAAATTTCAGCTACAGATTCAAAGCTGAGAAATTTAAAGAGCTCTTACTTTTTTAGTATCTAATCATTTCTTTTTCCATTTTATCTGTATTTAGATGGTCCTCCAAAAAAATAACAGTATCATGTCCATATAAAATATCACAAGATTGACTTGGGACAGAAATTTACTATTATTCACTATTAGTACAATTTTACTATTACTTCTATTATTATTTTACGATTACTATTGTTGCATATTATTTTATATACTTTCTAAAAATAATTTTTCCGTGCCGTTCCACAACAAATATTTCTTAATATATAAAATTTACAATTTCCATAAAATTTTTTAAAATGACTATAAAATCACTATTACCAACTCATCGAAATTTATTCCGCTCGGAAACGATTCCGATCGGAAACTAGCTTTCATCGGATTGCCAATTTCGTAAAACCCACTGTGCCGCAACATGAGCATATCGGAATCCGGTATCGAAATCGGCATTCCGCACGATTCCGGTGAAATTGGAGTTTGTAGTCGGGACTAACTTTGACCAATTAGAAAATTACTATAATTCTAATTTATTAATCTGGCAACGATATGTTTGTTTTGTCTTCTTCTGTGCGAGCTAAAATCACATTAACTTAGAACTGAAAGCTTAAAAATTCCTACGTTTTACTTTAAAAAATGACTTCCCGTACAAAAATCAATATTCGCCAGCAATATCCACCACTGAATGCAATTACAATAAAATTCCAGAAGGAAAATCAAGGTTGTCTATATTTATTTTCATTGCAAGCAATTTTGGGATTACTTAAAACCTTAGGTTAATTAAAAACGAAGGAAGGATATTCGCTTATTCAACCATAATTACTTGTTTGAAGCGTCTAGTTCTATTATAATGCAACTGTAAATTTGTTAAATTTTCCTATGAGAATTAAAAATAAAAATCTTTTTCATCAAAATAATTATTTGTAGTATTTATTATGAAGAAATCTGCCAAATCATTTCTTAAGGTCCGCAAAAGACTATCTACCCTGGTAATGAATTGCCCTCAATCAAATGCTTCTTCATTTTGTTTTTGTTTTTTTAACAAAGGAGAAAGACATAATAACTCATAATTTATGTAAATATTTAAACATTGCTGCCTTTATGTTTTTTTGTAACATTTTTTTTTTATTTTTTTTAAAGTAAACGATTTTATTTTATGTTACACGTAAAGGGAAACCACGAAAATATCTTTCAGATTGCTTGACGCTTAAAGAGTTCCAGCTTAATGTTCAGGAATCGTAATGAATTTTTTTTACATAATGAATCATTTTTTAGCATCTTTGACAGACAGCTCTTTTTATTTATAACTCATCCCAAAAATCAAAGTAACTCGCAATTTAAGTATCGGCGAAAAACAATGTTTATGAAAGTTATAAAAATAATTTATTTTAACCATGATTAAGTTGAAATTAAAATGATCAAATTTTGCGTTACACGCAAAAAAAAACTACGAAAATGTTTTTCAGATTGCTTGGCGGTAATTGGATTTCAACTAAATGTTCATCATTATCTCAATGGAATTATTTTTTCTTAAGCAATAATTTTTTATTATTAATCAGGCCTAGCCGTTGTGGCTCAGAAGATCTGGAACTCAATCCGTAAAACAACATAAGCCGCAATTTAAGTATCGAAATACAATTATATTTATGAAACCTATAAATATATCCTATTTTAAATAAAATTAAATTAAAATTGTCAAATTTTGTGTTACACGCTAAGAAAAACTACAAAAATGTTTAATCGGCTTTAATCGGTAGTAATGACAGAAAACAGCGCCATTTTGATCACTAAAATAAACTAACTCCTATCGGAATTTAGATTTCGCTTGCTCTAAACCTGCCGGAATCGGATTCGTAATTATTTCGCATCGGAATTTAGTTCCGAGCGGAATCAAGAGCTCATAATACGG